GGGGAAAGCCTCTGAATATTCATAAGCCTCTCGTATTTTGTCACCAGAATAAGCCTTGAAACCATAAGCGGTTTGCATTCAGTGAATCAGTGGCAAGGTAATGGCATTATGATAACAAAAATAAATCAATGTGATAAACAACTGCTATCTCCAGATCATCTATATTGTCCTTGTGTGTAAAGTGAAAGCCATTTATTCACATGTCATAAATAGCCTCTTTGATTAATAACATTAGTTGCCCTTGATGAGATGCTGTTTTCTTAAGGATATCTGGAGGCTAAATATATTATGGTATTCAGAAAAGAAGAAAATACTTTCTCATTTTTTACATATTCTGTAATTATTGTTCATTACTTTGATGGCATCAGACATAAATGACGCTTTATAAAATCAAACCCTTTGTCTGAACATTTTATAATATAAGGAATCCAGTATTTTTCTTCAGAAAAATCTAAGAATGTCAGATTTTTTTTATCAAATGTATGGTAAAGCCCCTGAAAAAACTATTTAGAACAATCATGCTAATCATATTTCTAAGTTGGATTTAGTAAGTATTATAAGCAGGAAGCAGATGAAATGGATATAAAAATTAAATTAGCATTTCATTTCACTATTTTAGAGTCCTTTTTTCTTGCCAGTTACAGAGGAAAATAATCTCTTAAAAATGTGCATTTTTAAAATATTGAAAGGGCTGAGGAGAGGGAGTTGTTAAAAAAAAAAGTTAAGTAACGATGAAACAAATTTTGGCTCAGGCTGAAGGAGCTGTGAAGGACCCTCCAGGTGTGTAACAAAGATTTGATTTCATCTGTAATTGATGGCACAAATAACAGAGAGAGATAATACATTAAAAGTTCAGATGAGAAGGGCAAATACTGATAATCAGATAAGTTAAGCAAAAATTGAGAAGAAAACAACAGCCAATCACCCACAGTTCTAAAAAAAATTGCTTGCAGACAAAAGGCACTTTAAAAGCCATTTCTGGTTACATTGATATGTTCAACAGAGTGATGCAGCTGAATAGCTGAGAAGAACTCCTGAACATTTATATGAATTTTGCAGTAGGAATCAATTCACCCATATCAAAGCTCAGTTGAAGTATATTAATGAGTAAGTGTGAGGAAATTTCTAATATCATTCTTTGGCTTGTGCTGCACTACAGCTGCATGGAGAATTAAATTCTTCAAGATGTTACTTACCTGTATGTACTGTTTTTGCTTTTTTTGTGTATGTGTGTGTTTTTTTTCCTTGTTTTTTTTTGATTATTTTTGCATTTTTTCCTCAAAAGCTAATATAAAAAGATATCTTCTCACTAAATATGTATTTTCCTTTTTTTTTTTTTTTTTTGGGGGGGGGGGGTGGGGGGGAAGGGGAGGAGTGGGGGATATTCTCTCCCTATTTTTTTCATGGATGCTTTTCCATTGATGCTTATTTCTGTGAATTTTGAGAATAAAATATATAATGGGTACCAGCCTTCTGAGCTGGGGAGAGGAAATGAGGTCTCCTCCTACAACACAGCCTATATTAATTCATGCAGATTTCTATCGATGTGAGTTGCTGAGAGCCGTAAAACCTTTACTGAAAGCAAGAAAATGGAAGGAATTCAGAATGAATTCAAGATGTTGAAGTTGTTACTTTTTTTTTACAAAGGTATCTGTCAGGATAAAAATATTTAGCTATTAACTGTGCACATCTGCATTAGCATCATTAAAATATACAGCCACAGATACTATGGTACCAGTAATTTGAGAAACACAGTTGGACAACATTCATCTTCATTTTTACCACTCATTCTAACCCGACCTCCAAGAAGGCACAGATATGAATTCCTATTTCCAAGTACACCCAAGGGAATTTCTGAAATCCAGAACAATAAAAACAAATTCAACATATGCACATAGAATGCCAAATAATACTAAAATATTCAATTTGGTATTGTAAGAGCTATATTGCATATTGCTTCAAATTCCTCAGAGTATAATACATGTAGTAGAATTTTTATTTTGCATTTTCATAATTAATAACTATCTCCTTCTATTAAGGTAAGGTCTCTGAATGCATTATTCTCCTGGTGTTGCTGAAAGCAGCATTTCTTCATAATACAATGGAAGACTGCATTTGCATTCCTCCTAGTTTCAAAAACTCAGTTCCTGCCATTTTTCTTGTAAAGACAGTAGTCTCTAATATAGGCAGTGCATCAAGACAGAAAGTTTTTTTTTTTTAAAGCAGAAAATGATTCTTGGTAATTTGGGATGAGCCTCCAAATAAATTAAAAATGATCTGTCACAGAACTGACTGTGACATTTGCAACAGAAAGAGGATCTTATAGTAACTGATGGGCTCCCTCTTGCTCCTTTGGGTAAAGCTGTATGAGTATCTAAGTAATGCTCAGAAGTTTGGTGTTTTTAGCATCTTGGAACAACTTCTGGGCTGAGTTTAATCTTTTTCTCTCTGCAAGTGTGTCCTATGGGTGAAGCTGATTTATTTTGTTAGATATGTTGTGTTGACTGATATTTATGAAGCATTCATGGTTCTCAGCAATAAGAAGCATGAGTGGGAATGCCATTCTTAAATGCTCATGTGAACCACAGCAGCAAAACAATTGCAAATAATAAGAAAACTGTTATCTCAGAATTAATGATCTATTGGGGACAATAGTTAAACGTTATCCCATGACTGTACAAAACATCTAAGGCAGCTTCCTGTCTTGAAATTCTACTTGTTTGGAAAGAAATAAATGCAAAAGAGGGTGTTACAACCTTTGTCTCTCCAGGCACATAGGTATCCAGAGCAAGGTGCTGTTAAGGTCAGAGAAACTATTTCAGCATATTCTGCACAGCTATTTGAGAAAGTATGTTAGAAGACTTATACTCTTCTTGAATTTAGATGGAAAGTAAGTCTACCAAACAATCTCTTCTAAAGGATAATAATTGCATAACTCTAGTTTAAGTCTTTCTGAGTAGAGCTTATGTCTGATTCTAATTACATTTCACAGTTTCTTGCAACTTGATAGGAATTCTTCTGCTTTTGAAACTCAACCTGGACTCGAGCTATGACTCTAAGAAAAATAATTCATCTGAAACTGCTGTCACTAAAAGCAGTACTAAATTAGTCCTAAGACAGTCATGAGAAAAAGAATATCATCTTTAAGTATCATAACTCATAAACTGAAAGCGTCAGTCAGCTTGGTGAATGTGCACCTTCCCATATTTGACCTACGCTCTGGTTTCAAACTACCCTCTGGCAGTAGCAAAAGAACAGATATTAGCATGGACTTTGAATAAAAATGTCTGAATTGACTCAGGTGCAGGAAAAAGTATTCATTTATTCCTTCTCAAAGTCAAAATAGGTCTGAAGGTCGGATATGTGACATGCTGTCTCACTCCAGACACACTCACTGTCTTTATAGCAGGGAGATGAGGTTCTTCTAATTTGTATATACACACATGCACATATCCCAGCTTCCTCAGAGATTTGGAATACCAGGTTAATGGTTGAAAATTCCACCAAGTTGCTTTTTTTTTTCAGCCCAAATAGAAAACTGGAACTATTGACACATTTTATGTGAAAATATTACTAACTTGTTCCCCATTGCTGATGATTTCTGGCAGATTAAAAATCACATTCAAATTTATAAGACTGCCAGACTCTGAATATTTAGATAAGAACCCAAACAAAAACTGTGCAACATCAGTTCCAAGTAGAGAACAGAATCCTTTGGAACAGTCAAATTTTAATGAAAAATATGACAAAAGAATAAGTAATCTTTTAACTCCTAGGTCAAAATAAAAAAACCCATTAACTTGTTTACCTAATTCCTTGAGTAATGTGCCTTGATAATAGCAAATACTGATAATACCAAGCCAAGGTAACACTTACTGCTGTGATATGTTGTCCTTGTCTCATCTGGGATAGAGCTAATTTTCTTCCTAGTAGCTGATATAGTGCTGTGTTTTGGATTTAGGGTGAGAATAGTGTTGATAACACACTGATGTTTTAGTTGTTGCTGAGAAGTGCTTACACTTAGTCAAGGACATTTCAGCTTCTCATACTGCCCTGCCAGTGAGGAGGCTGCAGTGCACAAGGTGATGTAAGAGGACACAGCCAGGACAGCTGACCTAAGCTGGCCAAAGGGATATCCCCTACCATATGGCATCTTGCAGAACTGTAAAACTGAAGGGATCTGGCCTGGATGGGTGGTTGTCACTGCCTTGGCTCTGGTCAGCTGGTGCTGAGCAATTGTGTAGTGTACCATTTGTTTCATTTTTTTTTCTTTTTTTTTTTTTTTTCTCTCTTATTACCCTGTCCTTTTTGCAACCCATTAGTTCTTGCGCTTCTTAGTTCTCTCCCACATCCCACTGTGAGGGGAATAAATGAATAACTGTATGATGTTTAACTACCTATCGTGATCTTTCCATTGTGTTAAGCCACAACATACATGAATAGAAATATAGTTTTGACCTAGCCTGCTAAACTTCTCCAACTTTGTTATCAGTCTTAAAAAATATCTCCATAATAAACATACCAACACCAGCTATTCTCATAACAGCATACAGACTGACAAATTATGTTCTCCTCTTTCAGTTTTTACAATGTATATTTTTTCTTATTACTCAATTCATATGTTTACCTTTATTTCATTAGCCTGCAGTAAGACCACTTTTGGATACATCAACATAGTAAAAAAAGCCAAGCAAACATGATTCCTGCAGGGGCAAAAAATTGTTGCAATTTTCAGCTCATGCATACTACTTAAAATACACATCAAGGAGGACATAAAAGGCACATACATCCATTGAAAGTCAAAAATCTACTTGTATGGGAACTGCTGAGTCATGGCCTGAACCTCTGATTGATCACCTGAGGCGAGCCATGATTCAGCCACAGGAGCACAGCTGAAGGCAATTCACCTGTGCTGCTGGAAGGGGTGGAGCCTGGCTGCACCTCTCCTAGACCTATTGAAGAGCTGGCTACCAGTGGGGAAGGATTTTGTCTGGAGATTCCTCTTTCTGGTGTTTTGTGGTGAGCCCAGCATAAGGGTAAGCCTTCCATTTATTCTCTCTTGTTATCAATGTCCACTTCACCTAACTCTCTTGTTTATTTTGTGATTGTAACATCTTGATATCCATTGATTATACACTACTACAAGCAGGAATCCCAATGTACTATAATTTCCATTTGGACAGTCTTTGCTGCAATAATTCAAGCCAGTTATAAAAAAAAAGAAAAAAAAAAAAAACAAAAACAGGAGAAAGTCCTTAGACTTATTTCCCACAGGTTTTAGCTCATAACTGTAGCCCTTTTTCCTTGGGTGCTTTCTCTATGTTCTCTGAATTTTCTACAAAGTATTTTATAATAAGAATATATGCCTTAGAGATGATGATGTCTTGACTCCAAAATTAAGGATTTTCATTTCTGATGTAGAGAAGAAATGATGTTTATAGCTAAAGGATTGAAAATACAGGCTACTATATGTACTTCTCAATAGTTTCCAGAGGAGTTAAAGAGTACATTATATAAATGTAAAATGGATAGTAGAGTGTAGGCTATAGAATTATAATTCTGTGCTTTGGGCAACCAGGAGTTGAACATGAAATGCTTGGGGCATGCAGGAAAAAACAGGATGTACAAAATCTTAGCAATATTTAGGACAGGAGATAATGGCATTAAGTTGTGCCAGGAGAGGTTGTTTGGCTATTAGGAAAGATTTCTTCTCAGAAAGAGTGGTAATGTGCTGGAACAGGCTGCCCAGGGAGCTGGCTGAGTCATTGCCTCTGGAGGCTTTCATGAAAACAGTAGATTTTGCATTGAGTGACATGGATTAGTGGTGGTAGTGGGTTGATGGTGGGACAAGATGATCTTAGTGGTCTTTCCAACTTTAATGACTCTATGGTTCTGTGAATACTGAATATGAATGTCTGTCACAAAGGAGATTACAATGAAGGAAAGTTATGAATTTTCCTTTTAGTATATACAAATCTTGTTCAAAGATTATTTCACCGTAGGTGATAGATTCCTTATGAAATAGTACTTCCAGGGAAGTTAGAATATGGTGTTTCGTGTAGAATGGTCTTGACTATGTGAGTCAGTACTTCATTCCACATAGGTTGAAGGTAGGGTGTAGTTGGAAACAAATGTTTGCAAATGGCAGTAGACTCCAGAAGTGCATGCTGTTTCAAAATGATGTGAAGAGATGTTGAGCAATACTACTTTAGCAAGTCTCCTTGCAGCAGCATGAAGCATATCAGTAAAACAAATGTGGTATATTTTTTCACTTTTGAGTGTCACGAGCAATACCAGAAGCAGACTTTAACTATTATTCTGGCACCAACAAATGCACACATCACACTCTGCTCATGGGTTTCTACAGTTTTGTTGACATCACTGTAGAGTTTGGTGGAAGACATCAAGACAAATTGTGAATGAATTATGGAGGAAAGCAAGGTTGAAATAAGTCAGGCATTTTTCTACATAAGTGTATTTTGTCCTGCAGTTCTACTGATAAATAGGTATCCTGGAAAAATATACAGCAAGAATGTAAAAATATGCTCAGATGAGTTCACATACTTCACCTTGTCTCTGTTAATGGCTGATAAAGGATTATTAGGGGAAAGATGACAAATACAGTGATTCTTTCCCTAGCATAACCTCCCATCTTCCAGTAATCAGTAGTTTAATTGTATCCTAAATCAGCATTTAATATTTCAGTGAAGCATTTCACATTTCTGTTAAATATCTTTGTAGTTTTGTTCTAGATATTTTGGAACTCATTCATATTTTTGATCTCTGCTATACTGATGTGTTCTATTACTTACACTCATTAAATGAAAAAAAAAAAAAACCCACAGCTTTAAGTTGTTGACATTTCAAGAATATTTTTCATGTTTTTCTGAGAAACAGTGAATGATAGTTTCCTTCCACTTTCTCTTTATCACCCTGATTTTATAGATTTCATCCCTGTTCATATATTTTCCAAGCAATACTAACCATGTTTTGTTGTTTTTTCCCTAGTAGATGGTTTTTAGATTGAATGATCAGAACTGCATGTACTAAGTGCATGAATGACAATAATATGCATGAACTGTATAGACAGCAATAGAATTATGTCTAATTTTCAAGTTCTACTGTAATTATAATATGTTATTTTTTTGGCCTTTCTTATCATCACCACCATTAAATGGATATTTTATGACTGTCCAAGAGCTCTTTCCTGAGTCCCGCTTGTCTTTAAGTGACTTAAGCCCATCACAGTACATGCACTGTAGATTAGCTGAGGCTGATCATTTAACTTAGTCATGCCATATATACATAGGAAAAATGAGTTCCATACTTTCTTAAAGCTAGAGAAGCTAGGGAATGTGTTAACACCACCTCAGATTCAGTATCTAAAATATTCTTGTCAATTTATGTTATGTTTAAAGCTTTCCTTACCAGGCTGGCCATTTATGGGCATACAGAAGAGTGGTTCAGGCTAAGTATAATGAGAGGCACTTTTCCCATGAGGACAGTGAGGCATTGGAGCAGATCACCCTTAGAGGCTGTGCTGTCTATGTCCTCAGAGAATTTTAAATCCTGAATGTATCAGACCCTGAGCAGACTGTGCTGGAACCAGGGCTGGTTCTGCTTTGGACAGGGAGTTGGACTGGCAACCTTCCTGTCTGAATTTTCCTGTGATTCCATAAAATTTAAATGGCTCAGTAAACAAAATACTATAGCAGAGACAGAAGTGACTAGAATGCAATCAAGTAATTTTATAAAATTATTGAGCAGGAATAGAATTATCCCTAAAGTTACTTCTAATATGTGGAACCACTGCTAACGCTGAACAACTGAAAGCTTTCCATTAAGATCAATTACTCATTTTCCTCATCTGAGGCTTAAAAAACTAATATATGTCGGTAGGAACACTGTAGTTTCTCTTCTTTTGACTTCTGCTTTGAAAGATGGTAACATTTTGAAAATAAATAGGGAAAATTTTGCACGGATAATACCACAGTAGCACTGTACTCCCACTGTAATCAAAGTTTAATATTATTTTCATTGCATTCATTCTGAACAAATAAATGTATGCATGTACATTTGTATCTCCGTGAACTTTCTAGATGAGATAAAAATATAGAGCTTAAAAAAAGTATAACTCATAAGTTGTATTGCAAATGGTTGATATAGGCACTATAAGACTCTTCATTTGAAGAGTTACGATACATTCTTTGAGCTCATGGGTCAGAAATACCCATACTATACATAATGTTTTTAGCTATATCTCTTTTCGGGCCTCTTTGCTGAGGCAAGTGTCCTGTCTAAGAGCTTTTTCTGGATTGAGAAAGGGATAGAGGAAAAGCAGTAGAGAATTGCCTCCTGCACAGGAAATACCAGAAATAATTGTTTTTAGTGCAATGCACCATTGTTAAGAGCTGCAAGGGTATGTTGCTGAATTTTGCTTCTACCTTTACTTCTATTTTGATTAGGTGATGTTGTAAGAAATATCCTCAATCAGAGTTTGAAATCTGCTGGTTTCAGCTGGGATGGAATTGATTTTCTCCACAGTGACTGGTGTGATAGTATGGTTTTTGACTTTAGGAGAAAAACAATGTTGACAAATCACCAGTGTTTCAGTTGTTTTGGAGTGCTGTACAGAGCCAAGGACTCTCAGTTTCTCAGCTTCATGTACTGCCCTGCCAGTGAAGGGGGCACAACGAGCTGGGAGGAGACAGAACCAGAACAGCTGACTTAAACTGGCCAAGGGTATATACCATACCATGCGATGTCACGTGAAGAAACTATAAAACTAAGGGGACTTGGCTTATGTGGTGCAACTACTGCTTGGGGACTGTCTGACCATTGGTGAGCAGGTTGTGAGCAATTGAACTGTGCATCGCTTGTTTTGTAAATCTCAACTTATCAGTTCTATTTATTTTTTCCCTTATTCTCTCCCCCATAACAATGGGATTGGGAATGGAAAAGGAAGGAGTAAGCAAACGGTTGCATGGTGCTGAGTTCCCTGACAGGTTGTCATAACATAACAATTTCTCAAATTTACTGGAAATGTTTACTTGCAGATTGTATAGCATTCGAGCTTTCAGAGAACCTTAGACAGACTGATGATTCCTAATAGTCATTGATCTCTAATTGGTCATAAATGGTAGCTGGAAAAATCGCTGTATATGGGCATACCTAAGTTCAATACCAGGATGACTTCAGCAATCATTAAAGCAAAGATACATAAATTTTTATTCTATTAATTTATGGTGGGTATTTTTTCCCCTGTAATTCTGCAAGGCTTGATTTGCACAAGTAAAACTCCACAGATCCTATCAGACCTTGATCATACAGATTTTGGTAGAAGATTTCATATTTATATATATATAATTTTTCTGGAGCATTGTAATAGAATGAAAACACAGTTAACTTGAAAATTTCAGGTAAATTAACAGTTACTTTCAAACATGACCTTCACTAGAAATTCAACAAAAAATGATAAAGACTGAAAATCTCTGTGGAAAATTCTTTCCTGAGGATCTCTAGTTCCTTCAGAAATGAAGACAGCTTGTGTATATCTGGTATCTCTTATCTGTTATGAATAAGTCAAGAGAATCTTGAATACTTTTTGTGTTTTAGTAATTTGCATGGATTTGGAAGATAACAGTAAGTCAGCGAAGCCAAAAGCAATGTCTGAACTGTTTCTGATTTTCATCTTGTAGTGCTTAACATTAGCTTTTATAGTAGGGGAGAAGAGTGGAATATTTAAACCACATTGCACAGAAATTATTTTATTTCTGTGGACAGATTCCTTTCCATTGCCCTGCGGGCAGAAAGGGCTGACATGTTTTAAATTCCACATGGAATTCAACAGTTCAAGCACTAGCCTTAGTGAATCCACACAAATTCACTGTGTATGAGGATATCTTATATGATTTTTTTTTCCAAAAGAAGGATTTACTAGAAGCAAGGCAATGGATGGTTGGCTTAGTGAAAGATGTTTTTTGCCTAATCAGAGCTTTAAATTTACCCTATGGGCACAATGCATTCTATCTTCCCTATGTATGAAGTAAGATTCTGTTTTACATACACATAATGCACAATGTGCACTTTTCCAGTTTATTTGTACCTGTTAGGTTTTTTTGGAGCTTTTCCTTTAACTTATAGTGAAACATTAAAAGTATTAAGTCAGAAAGCTGCAGGAGAGTTTTTTTTTTTTTTTTTTTTTTTTTTTTTTTTTTTTACTACAAGACTGCCTTCTTGTCTTGCCCGACATCAACTGTTTTCCTAAAGCTAATTTCATTATAGCTATCACCTTCCTTGTTTGCTGCCAAGATGGAGAATTAGCTATTGAAGCACTGAAAAAGTTAGGTGTGTCCACTGAAGCCACCGCTCAAGCTTTGAGGGTGACTTCTTTGCAGGAAAGTGTTAATCTAAATTTTCAGGGACAACTTCGAGAGGAAAAGTGCAAGAAAAAGGATGAAGAAGAGTGAATGACAAGAACTATAACAACTCCATGTAGAGAAAGAAGTGCCAGAAGAAATTATAAAAGTTTGTCAGAGCACTAAACTGGAGATATGAGTTAGAAGGGAGTTACTGAATCCTTATTTGCCAGTTATGTCTCCAAGCATGCTCCAAGCAGCATTTTGGAAACAGAATTACAAATCCAAAAGGCTGCCTCACCCTGACATTTGCAATTTTGATTTATGTAAGCAAGGTCCCCTCCTACCTGCTGGAGGGGAGCTCTGCAGAAAGGGACCTGGGTGGCCTGGTGGATGACAGGTTGGCCATGAGCCAGCAGTGTGCCCTTGTGGTCAAAAAGGCCAATGGCTTACTGGGGTGCATTAAAAAGAGCATGGCCAGCAGGTCGAGGGAGGTGATCCTCCCCCTCTACTCTGCCCTGGTAAGGCCTCATCTGGAGTACTGCGTCCAGTTCTGGGCTCCCCAGTACAAAAAAGACAGGGATCTCTTGGAAGGAGTCCAGCGGAGGGCCATGAAGATGGTGAAGGGCCTGGAGCATCTCTCCTATGAGGAAAGGCTGAGTGATCTGGGTCTGTTCAGCCTTGAGAAAAGGAGACTGAGAGGAGACCTGATCCAGGTCTATAAATATCTAAGGTGTGGGGGGCAGAATGGTGAGGCCAGACTCTTTTCGGTGGTGAGTGGAGACAGGACAAGGGGAAACAGCTGGAAACTGCAGCATAGGAAGTTCTGCACAAATGTGCGCAAGAACTTCTTTACGGTGAGGTGACGGAGCACTGGAACAGGCTGCCCAGGGAGGTGGTGGAGTCTCCTTCTCTGGAGATGTTCAAGACCTGCCTGGATGCCTACCTGTGCGACCTGCTGTAGGGAACCTGCTTTGGCAGGGGGGTTGGACTCAATCTCTGGAGGTCCCTTCCAACCCGTGGGACTCTGTGGGACTCTGTGGGACTCTGTGGGACTCTGTGGGACTCTGTGGGACTCTGTGGGACTCTGTGGGACTCTGTGGGACTCTGTGGGACTCTGTGGGACTCTACCCGCCTACTACCTAATGTAACTCTTGTGTTCCAACCTGCAGTTGATAGTGCACATTTTTTGAATTTCTTTTATAGCACATGTATGGTTTATATTACAGTGTTGCCTCGAAAACTGTACCCCATTTTATTGGATGGCAAGGATAAATACAACTCTTGTTCAAAAATGCATATTATTTATCTAGATAACAGAGAGAAATTGTAGGATACAGAAAACAGCAGTATTTCACTTAGGAAAGACATGGTCAATAGAGAATCAGGAGTGGGAGATGTCTGTAAACAGATAGAGACGTTTTGAATGTTTAATCTCTATTCTCTTTGTTAACATTGATAAAAGGTGCCAGTATCTGACCTATTTTAGACCATTTTTGTGGTCTACATATGTAATGAAGAATATCTAGAGATGCCCAATTTTGTGTATTATGATATTGTGCTAAATAGCCCCTATGTGACTTTAAAAAAAATAATTAGAAAACAGAACACATTTATCGCTACTACAATCTCTATTTAAAGGATTTTTCTAAATAGGAGAGTCACTTTTGCAGAACAAGTGTGAGAGATTCTGAAAGCTCAGAAAAAATCAAAACACTCCTATAAGGGTGATTCTATGGTGTGCTGTAAATTGCTTATTGCAAAGGCTACTTAAATGATTAAGTGGATGGTAACTGCATATGTCACCATCTGATAAAGACAACTGAATATATCTGAGGGACAATTTCCCCCTGGGCCTGAAAGTTCTCGCCACAGCTGGATATGATCTGTCATGCATTTTGCATTTTAACTCTTGCAATTGTCTCACAGAATTGAAACAAATACATGTCTGTTTGTAATCTAATAAAAGTAACCTCTATGTATTGTGATTGTTTCCACTGCCTTCTTTCCTGCCTTCATATAGACATTCCTTTCCATTGTTACCTTCTACATCGTTACCTTCTAACTGTTATTTTCTTATTTAGTAGTCTTTTTTTTTTCCTCTCTCTCTTTCTGCCTTCAGAATTACTACTTTAAGAAGTCCAACTGCTTTTCTATGATGAATTCTTGCAAGAAAAAAATCATCACAATTGGAAGCCCACTACAGAACTTATTTGAATATGTGTTATATTGAATATGTGCTGACTGAGCTGATGGGAGTTTTATGCAGCTCCCATCTTTTATCTGTTGTTTTTGAGGAAACGCTTTTTTGCAGTAAAATGTGTATATGGTACCTGTCTTAAAACCCAACACTGATTTCCTTTATCAAATATTCCTTTCAAATTAGGGTTTGTTTTTTGCTTCCTCTTGAGTATTAAACTGTCTATATGTGCTCACCACTAATACCGTAGGCTTCTTGGTCCAGTGGATGTATTCACATATTAAGTTTTGGTAGGATTAACTTAATGAATTTATCAATTTACTTTCATTATTGTATGTGATACTGCATAAGGTCTCTGGCCATAATTTGCATATGAGACTTAGAAAATATCCTCCCAGTACAGCAACTGATTTCACAAAGAACTCACAGAAATATTACAGTGGACATCTAATTCAGAATTCTTACAGGGAAAGGAAGGAAAAGAAGGCAGGCATGATAGATACTTCAATGAGTCAAGAAATGTTCCCAGAGGAGGGTCAATTTTTACATTATTTATGTCTCTTTTCAGGAGTGAATGTTTGACAGCATGGATCAAGCAATGAGTTCTCTGGTATGTGCTCCCTTCTCTGACAGCAGAGCAATATCAGAGTTGAATTTTTCTACAAGATTGTTCCTGAGAAGCAAGCACTGCTAATTTGTACTAGTATGTATTTAGCAAGACATTAGGGACAGCTTCAGATGTGCTCAGCTGCTTAGATACTGTGCATCGTTTCAGGTTTAAAAATGTTGCAGTTACTCATTTAAAAAAAAAAAAAAAAAAAAAAAAAAAAAAAAAAAAAAAAAAAAAAACAACAACAAAACAGATAAAACCATTAGACATATGGGTTCTCCTGTGAGGATGAAGATAATATCATGTCTGAGACCTTGACAAGGTCAGGGTAAGGTTTAACCTAAGACCATACTCTGGCAGTCCAGTAATCCTGTTTTATACTAGCATTGCGGCTTGTGACACCTCTGTTCTGACCCCTGCTCATACGGTCAGGTTCCTCAAGCAGAAATATTTGCTGCTGGAAGAGACAATACCTTCTTTTTCTACCCTATACTCAATAGGGGTCCTCATACAGCTACGAGAAACTGCTGCCTTCAGAATCCTCTGGCATTTTCTGAAAGAAGTGAAGGAGTCAATAATTCAAAATTGTTCTGAATTACCAGAAGCTGATGACTTTAGCCTAAATGGGAGTGTGAGTCCAGCAAGGCCAGCTACCTCATGGTTCTAGAAGCACTCCAAAAGGGCAGAACATCAGGTGAAACAGATGCACCAGACCTGAGCTTATAGACTGATAATGCAGCTGCACCTGAGCTGTGTCCATCTTTACAGTATGGATGTTACCCAGCAGGATGAGCAATGGTATTTGTACATGGGAGAGAAACTGACAAGAATTTCTTTCTCTGGCTGAATTGATTTATTTTTTGTTCAGGTCCTAAGATAAACAAATGAATCTGGAAAGATCTGGAAGTAAATCCGGGTTCCACGATACATCAGTACAAAACTGGAAGAGCCTTGGAAAATGGAGATTTAAAGGAGCAAGGGAACTGGGTACGAAAGAGCATGAAATAGCATCAGAGGAAAAGGTATTTGCCTCAGAGAAATGAAAGGAAGATTGGGATAAGGGTGGTAAGTTCTCTGCACTTTCCTTCAATCTGCTAGTGCAAAGCTGGGAGATGGGACAACAAATGATATTTGATCTCAGCTCAGCTGCTTAGATCTTATAATAGTGGTGATGAGGAAAATGATATTAGCTGAAGTAGTCACAGTACCTGTAGGAGTATTTTAAGCCAGAGCCAAAATAATGCCATAAGTCTTCTGTCCAAATTTCCTTATATATATAATATATATATATATATATATATATATATATATATATATACATACATATATACACATTACCAATTGCCTGCTGTAAATTCTTTTTATCTCCCCTTCTCTGCTTCACACTCTCTCTTCAGGCTTCCTTTTTATTTTTTAACTTCTTTTTCACTTTAGTTAATACTCAGAGTAATGCTGTCTGCATTTGTCTTTCTCAGAGTGAATGAAGAAGTTCTTTTCTTCTGGCATTCAAAAGAAAAAAATCAAAACAAGCAGGAAAGAATGGGGAGACCTTTGGAAGGAAAGTAGAAAAGTAGAAATATTGCAGACAAGCAGAAACATGAGATATCCACAGGGAAATTCAAGATCAGAGAATTTGTAATACAAAAAGTGCTAAAGCAATTCTTTGTCATAAAAATGACCTAAGAACGATTGGAAGAGAAAATAAGATGGGTGTGTGTGAGAGTTGTGAACAATTACTCTCTTCTCACAATTTTTCAAGCCTTTAGCCTGCAAAACATATGTGAACCAATCAATGTCCTGCTCCATCTCTCAAACTAGCAGTAACTTGGAGCAGACAGCATGGTAGCTAATAGCATTTAGTACTGAATGATAGTAAATATATGAATGAAACCACAAATATTAATATTTTGTGAATAGCCAGTGGTGTGCAGAATTGATGGTTGGTAAGCAGAGCTTGCAAATGAGAAGTAGTTCTCAAGGGTTTTGCTTGGTGCATATGGCTGGTGCACAGCCATCACCCACTCCCTAGCTGCTTAATAATAATAATAAAAAAGAAAAATATGAAAATGCATGCATAAATAGACAATGTTCTGTACCAATTTTTCTGTTATGAATCTAGAAATCAAGACTGGAAGTCAGGGCAGGCCAAGCTCTGTTTCAACCTAACAATACAAATTCAGCTTGGAAGAAATGGTTAAGAAGGAAGTACTGTTGTTTACTACCAGTCAAGAAGGCAGAAACAGTTTTGGAGTTACTCTAAATAATTTAATTATTTTAGAAGTTAATGAACAGGAAGGTGTATTCCTGCCACAAATTCCTTAACTTGGCTGAATTAATAGCTTACTGCAAACATCACTGTCTGGGACTCATCACAGAGAGTGTAGGTCAGGATGTTGGAAGTGCCATTTAGTTTATTTCTGATGTGCTAGTTAAGTCTTGCATTATTGTCACAGAACTGCAAATGGTTTGTGCGCATTATTTGTGCTTGTATGAACACAACACTCACGCTTTACAGTCTGTGTGTGTTAAAGTATGTTTACTTCCTGTTTGTCATTCTTAGTTCAGTATTGGTACAGCACTAGCGCTCTCCCAGCTAAAGTCTGTATTTCCTTATATGGCTGCAGTTACATCTACATTGCAATTGAAGAAGTGAAGATTTTCATTAAGTAATTCTGAAGGCATGTCATATCTTCATACAAACTAAAGTTAAAAATAATGCGAGTGTTGCCCCATTCTACATAACAGGACCTGATGTCTGTCTATTAAAGCCTGACTACTGCCTCTTAAGACTGAAAATTAGATGGAGAGATTAGTGGAGCAAATTAAATTGAAGTTTATTAATTGTTTTTCATGTCTTTTGAATTCAGTGAACAGAGTACTGGCAGCATACGTGGCATGGCTGCTCATATGAACTTGCAGTAGGGCTGCTAAAAAAGTTCGGTTCCAATTTGTTCATCAAAAGATTCTGGTTGCTTGTCATGATTGTCATAAGGAAGGGCAGATAATTTTAACACAGTATATTTGGATATATTTTTAAAGATAAATTCAAATTTCACTAGGGGTAGTTATAGCTTTAAAATTAGAATTACTTCATACACTGGCTAAACCATTTGTTAGTATAGTGTGTGACAGGTAAAATAGTTTTACCCCAATTCATTTTGATGTAAAACAAATCACATCAAATATACTGCAGGTGCAGCTACACCAAACATTAACAATCATCTGAAGTCTGCTTGAATCTGTAGACATTTGCACTGTTTGTGGTACCTGGTATTTACAGAAATGTGAAGAAAATAGGGAGTACTGTCAAGATTGTCAACCAGGTAACCGTATTCCTAAACAGTTTCCTCAAATTCTTGGGAATGATCAGATTCTCTATGGCATGCATCCATTTCAGGAACTTCTTAGCTATATGCTTTCGATGCTATGAATCTGAGGCATTTTATATGCCTCAGGTGTTTTAATAAATACACAGGTTCTGCAGAGGCATATTAAATCCCTTGTTCACACAGAAATGAATACCTGCACGGTTTCTGAATGACGTTTTACACTGATAGAGCTCCTCTTGTTTTCTGTATAACAGACATCAAACTTGATGCACCAATCCTCATTATCTTGCCACACAGTAGTGGAAATATTACTTAGATATTGAAGTAAGCAATCTGTACTATTCTTTGGGGAAAGGTGGGGAAAGTAACTTACATTGCAAAAGCTGTTAGTTTTTTTTTTTTTCTTCTTAAATTCACCTATAGGCATACTTCATATGATAGAATAGATCAGACACAGTCATCAAGAATGATTTGGGAGTGTTAGTTGATAAAAGACTCAACATGAGCTTGCATTGCTTGCAGCCCAAAAGGCCAACTGTATCCTGGGTCGCATCAAGAAAAGTGTGAACGCCAGATAGAGAGATGTAATTCTGCCTCTCTGTTTTGCTTTTGTGATATGTAAAGCACGCCTATAGGTGAATTAAGTGTATAATAATGCATGATCTGTAATACATTAATATATGAATAGAATAATGTATATGCACCTAAACATCTGCACTGCAAACTTCTGAGCTAATAAAAAAGAGTATTATGAACATATTACAAAATAACCATTCACTTGTGCATAAGCTCTAAGAAATATACATGTGCAGAATACAATGGAATAGTGGTGGTTTTTTGTTTGCTAAAGCTCCCTGTTGTGCTGTGCCATCATAAGAGATGCAGTGTGCAGCCCTTGAGAGAATTATGCCAGTGTATCTTGCAAAGTGCCACGTGACCATCAAACACTGCAAATTCTTGAGGTGATAAATGGGTAATTATGAGAGTGAGAGAATATAAGGGGATGAAGCATGGAATAAGAAAGACTATTTAAATACAGAACAGAGAATTATAAGATTTATTCCTCCTACCCTTCAGATACTTCTGTGCTTTTGTCTTAGGCAGCATGAACTTGAGCTCACTTTTACTGGGTCAAGTAATCTAAAATATGCCCACTTCTGACCTTGTCGATTTGCTGGCATTTTAATTCATGCTTTCTTGTAATGGTAAAAGATGTCTTCACCGCAGACAAGCATAACGTAACTTGTCTAATATATGACAAGTTACATTTCAAAATTTGATTTAATTTTATATCATCCAATCAAATGAAGCTGCTCAAAATCTCCTGTGAACTGCAATTCTGTAGGCAACTTCATTTTGGAGAAGTAGCAAATGTTATTTTGCTGATGTGTATCCCGGCCCTGAAGCAGTTCCACTGGTTTTCTTGAGATGTAGGTAACCTTCATGAAACAGCTGAATACATCCTAAGGATCTGTGGGGTAAGCTGGGGCTGCTATGGTCCTGGCTCTGTGGAAGAGAAAGAGATGGCAGCTCATTGGGCTGCCTCACACTGTGCCCTGACTTTACTCAGGCCAGGAATGCTCAGTGTCCATGGGCTCTTATGCTGAATTTCATAGGCATCCTGGCCTCCAGTGATGGAAAGTCATCTGGTTAGAAATGCACCAAACAGGACAGATTCAGCTGGGTAGTACAAATGTTAGTGAAAATATATCAGCTGTCTTTATTTTTACATCTGATGAAGAAATAGAGGCTATTATGCTTCCATCACTCCTATGAGAATGATTTAGCTAGCTCCTTCCTGTGAACGTATTTAACCTCAACAGCTTGACCTGACCTCATTGTGATGACGACCTTTAACATCTTGTGTTCCCTAGCTTAATAGAGTCAACAAATCAGTCTGGGCTGTAGATGAGTTTGCAGAAATAACAGTTAGAATGAGTGAACAGCTTGAAAATAACCATATCTGATTCTGGAGCAATTGAAAGACAGTAAACATGAAGCTTAAGGATATCAGTTTTGCAGGGTCACTTATCTTAGGGAAACAGTGTGATAAACAGTGTTGTTTAGAATGGGAGTCTTTTCTTGATTTGAATAATTCATTTTTACTCTTGACCGTTATTCTTACATTACTTGGTTAGAAATCAGATAGCATCAAATAATAATACAGTATCATAGCAACATAGAAGAAACCAGCCTTACAGATTCTGGAGATGCTGATATCATTGCATTTAGTTAGTGTAAAGGAATTATTGAGCTGACATCTTCAGAGAAGTTTATTTTCCAGTTGAAAAAGTCATGTCGCTATCCGATTTGACATTCTGCCTCTATATTGCTTCCAGCTTCCTTTAAAAAGTCCCTGAAAGTCAATTCTCTTTTGTAATCACTGTACTGTTAAACAACTTTGTCATGGCCTTGGCTCTTAAATGAATTGTGCTGGAAAACATTTTTCTTCCATTTTAATGTCAGCTACCGACCCAAAGCTGTCATTGCAGTAACACTGAAGAAGACTGTATCCCAACTAACATCATCTGCTGTGCCATATATATTTTTAAGGAAGCTGGGGAGAATAGTAATTTCAAATGAAAAAAGCATCTCACTAAATCGTGCAAGATTTACTAGGTTCGTAATTGCTGAAACTCAAATAATATTTTTGATATATAGAGATTTCAAAGCTCGTCTTCCTGATCTAAATCCAATATAGCGCTAGATCTAGTGGTGGAAATGAAATCTGAGATACAGTTGTTACTTCCAAGTAGTTTGATTAACACGTTCTGCAAAATACGTGCAAATATGTTCACATTCTGAATGGTGAGCAAGTTGACAGCTACAGAAATAAAATTCCACATTATTTTCAGAAAGCAGCCCTCTAATGCAGTCATCTCAACATTACAATAGGGGAGAGGACAGAAAAATCACGGACTGGAAATGAGACATGCTTTTTGCAAGGTATCACTGAGAACCCCAGAACATTTGCAAGCATTTTTGCCAGTGTCATTTTAGTTTTCTTCAGACATTTGTGTTGTTTTCACATTACATCAATAGCTGCTTGTCTCTGATACCATACATCGCAGTGCCATCTAGTGCGGGAAGGGAAGAACACGGAGGAGAAAATGGTGTGAGATTTAGTTCATGTGAAAGCAGCATGCACAGCCCTGGCTGAGCAGTGATGTCTGCCTTTAGTAACTGCCTCTGATTTCAGTATCTCACCACTGGAATATTTGCTAGCACCAAAGACAGAAATAGCTGCATTTCCCCATGCACAGATGCACAGTTATGTGTGTTGTGACAAAATACTTTATGAAGCTGAATTCTTTACTAGTGTTTGATTATCTGAAGCTGTCCACTGTGAACTCTGTCTACATAAGACAGGATGAAAAACACAAAGAGAAATGCATGCGAGAAACTGTTTTCATTATAATTTGCAGTGAAAATTTCTAATAAAAAAAGGCTGCATGTATTCACAGCTATTTTTTCTAATTGTTAGCCAGCTAAGCTACTGCTGTCTAGATGACATAATGATTTGCAATGCTAGGACCAGAAGAAACATGAAAGATAATGTCAGGCACAGAGAAAAATCTTCCCCTTTTTTGCCAAATCTCATCACGGTGGTGGTGATCATACACTATAAGCACAAAAGTCTCTCTTCATACAATCATATAATCATCTGAGTTGAAAGGATCTTTTAAGGGTCACCTAGTTCAACCTGCATTAAATAGGGGCACCTACAGCTATATCAGTGTGCTCAGAGCCCCATCCAGCTTGATCTTGTGTTCAGAAATGGGGCGTTTCATCTTCAACTACTGGAATAATTTCCTACACAGAAGATAGAACAGTCTTCACCTGATCTGTGTTATATGTATTTGCACTCTGTTTTGTGCCTGACATATGCACCCCTGAAAATAGACCCTTATGCACATACAGTTCACTCTCCTCCATGGACTGAGGTTAGCAGAAGAGAAAGGCAGTCCTGATTTCAATCTGCTGCCCTCTAATCTTGCAGAGGTAGAGTGGAAAGTCTTCTGGGCTTATCCACTGCTTTTCCAGCTGCATGTCTTGACTTTACTATGCAGCTGTCCAACTCTGTACAAATTGCACATCTTTGGAAAACATCACTATGCGTTATGTTCACTGCATAAGGGAGAGCAGTAGGGCCTGTGTGTGATGGGGCCCGCTGCTGCCCGTTGCAGGGATGCATCTCCTGGGCAGGGCCCAGCTACATGCTTCAGCCAGTTGAAGCAAAAAATAGAAAAAGCAGGTATGCTCAGAGATGACACAACTGAGCAGTTGCCCTTCTCCAAAAGGCAAAGAGATCCTTTCCATGTGGACTTTCAGGGCACGCAGGCAGAAAGATACAGCTCACCAGGTTCGGACACAGGTTCTGGCCATCTTTGGCACAGCCTACTGGCTGTCTGCTCACACGGGGAGGTCTTGCCTGGAGGGCAAAGGACAAGCAGGTTGCTTTCCCTAAGCGTATTGCAAAACCAGGCACCTTTAGAACATTCTTTACATCTTTCGGAAATAAACATTTCTTAGGGATATGATATACCACTGTACATGCATCCAGATTCATGTCAGAAAGCAAATTCCTGCTCTATTAACTTCAGTGGAGACAGCACTGCACTCACGCATTCACGCTTCCAAGAAAAATGAATGAATATAAACGCGCTATTATGAAAGTCTGATAACAATTTTTCACATCCTCATCTTTAGTATCTTAAAAAAAGCACCAAGTGTTTTTTGACTCTCCCTCTCTGCAGATATTCTAAGTAAAATGTTGATGAACAGCTTAATTGTGACAGAAAAAACATTTCATTGATATTTTTTCAATCCAGATATTGTAAAGAATTTAGGAGGAACAATAACAAAAGAGAGAGCATTTTTTATCTTCATTTAAAGGAAAAGATATGTGACTTCTATACCAAGTACTGTCAAGGTTTTAACATATTTAGAATTTAAGATTTCTTTTATATTTAACATTAGTCTAACTTGAAGGATTTCTGTTTGTTTTTAATCTAGAGAGCATATTAAGATCCATGAACTCTTGATGATCTATGAGCAAATCTGTAAGTCAGAATCACTCGAACTATATTTGCATGAAATGTTTGTTTTACGCAATGTCTTTAATTTTGTCCACACTGAAAACAGATTCTGATTTTGTTTTTTAAGGTTGATAAAAGTGTCAAACATTTTTAAAGTGCAGCAGAGTGCTTCCCTTACCTGTCCTCAAAATAAAACTACAAAGTATTTTCAACCAAACACAACAATAAATAATGTTGCTATGTCCTGGTTGTTAAATGCCCATGATATAGTAACTTCTGAAACTGTAGCACTATCTGTTTTACTTCTACGATAATAATGGTGAGCAAAAGGTATACAAGAGACCTACCCTTGTAACTTAATGCAAGAGGTCCTGGCCAAAATTAAGGACCCAGCTGAGTTTTAGTAGTCATTGTTTTTTTGGTTCATACTGCAATATATTAAAACATAATTTTGCTAAAGAGATGTAGGCCATTTCTGATGTTCAAACACTAGGTAAAAGGTTTGCTATGTTCCATCTCTGCTGGCTGTCACTGGGGGCGGCTGAGCAAATGGTGATTCAGCCTTTGGTCTGAAGCTCATTGTACTGAGCCTGCTCCAGATGCCATAAATATATCTTGTTGGGATGTTTTATGTCCCTCACTTCCCTGCAGGCAGTCCAGACTGGAGTGGATTTATGTATTTTTATTTTGGGATTGTTTTTGCTGGAAGGCTTACAAAAAAAGGCAGGCTTTGCATTTTGAGGGAGTTGAAGCTGCACAACATGTACATCCTAATTTAGTTATAGAGTCGATTTATGCTCATACTCTCTGAAGTGGTCTCCCTTCAGTACTCTTCAGATCTTGAATTATTTTCTTTCTTTCTTTTGTCCAGCTCCAAATCAGAGCAATTTGGCTAAGTACCAGCCTTAGATTTTGTTATTAAATTTTTGATTATCTTTTCATATTAGCAGTTCTACTGAGACTGCTTGGAGAGTATACTGAGACCCTTTACTGCAGCTAAAGGTATCAGTTTTGTATAATATAATTATCTTTGTAAAAGTCTGTATAGCCATTGCAAAATAATTCTGTTTTACTTACTGTGAGGATTCTTTTAATATAATGCAGTCATTATTAAAATATTTCTATTGCTTCTCCTGGGAGATGCCTGTTGCCTCCAGCAGAGTGTAGTTTGAAAAGATCTCTTTAGAGACTGACATATTCAGATACACCAAACAAACACAGTAGGTTCATGCAGAGTCCTTGCTAGGCTTCAGAAAGCAGTAGGGTTGCATTACTGTAGTGCTGTGTCTACTGTAATTAGTTGCAGAGCATTACTAGGTTTGCAGAGCTATTCTAGGTGCTTTGGAGTGCTGAGGCTGCTGTATGTTGGCTCTGCACTACTGCTGTGTTGGCAGCATCCCCACTGCTCTCCTTTGCCCAAGAGGAATCTTTCTGTGACAAAAGTCAAGGGTGAGTCCTGCTCTGGGATTTGGCTACTCATTTTGCCACACGACAAAATGCTGTGTGGGGCAGTGGTATCTGCCCGTATATACCTCAGCTTTGGTTTGCTGGCACATTCAGCAGTGGAAGCCAACTCCAATATTCTGCACTTAAAAGTGGGGAAATTCAGGAGTGGGTTGTCCCCAGGATATCTTTATTAATCCAATGTTTTCAACTTCAGCTGTCCAAATAAAAGTTAACTTCTAGCCCAGTTAGAGCTCACAGTTTGCATTTTCCAGTAAAAATCTCATCTCTCTTTCTATAAAGGCATGTTCATTATTTTATCCTGTGGTACCCATTGATGGTACCAATCGAAAGCACTGCCTTAATATGTGATCTTCTCTTCTTATAGTGTGACTCATAAGAAAGCAACAGAGAACAAATCATCTCAAATATTGACAAGGCAAGTTAAATTTAGTAGAGTCATATATGTCTCCACAATAAGGCTTCAGTTTTCTTCAGTGGAAGGAAACACATCTGTCTCAATTCTCATTAAAATGTTAGAAAGTGAACATGAGTACTATTACAGAAAAGAATAAGAAACTGAAACGAAGTCAGATGCTTCAGAACAAGATGATAATCTCAGAAAATGTCTATGTGATGTTCTTAGAGATGTGGAAGAGTGTGAGAAACAAATGACACACAATTTTTTATTATCCCTGGCCACTTGGTTATCTTATGATGACAATTCATATACATGCACGTATTCTTATTACTTATTTGTCACATAGTGACAGATAGCACAGCCCGATATCTATTGCAGGTTAATGTGAGAAAAATCTATTATATTCTGAAAAATGTAAAAACTTGCTTCTCTCTCACAGAACATCACCTACATGAACATCTACAACCTGTTCTTGGAACAACAGCAAGAGGAGGGAGGAGACAGTCATTAAAAAGGTAATTTTTTCAGACCCTAACACAGTGGTGGAAAACACAGAAGAAATGTGATTGCCAACTAATAATTTGGATTCATCATCTCATAACTTATTTTGGAATGAGTGCTGTCAGATATAGCTATAGCATTCTCTACTATGGCCTTATAGCAGTCCTGCACAGCTTTTTCAACAATATCAACTTGTCATTTGTTCAGTTTGTGCTTATGTATGAGGCTGCTAATATCTCATATATGATAAATCAGTTGTTTTGTTTAAAAAAACCACAGGTAAACTGAGAATTAAAATGAAATGCTAATCTTAAAATGTTGGGATAACTAATGCAAACATTGCATTTACGCAACATGATTGGACTCTAGTGCCAACTTATCCTATGCTGACAACATTGTGCCAGCTCTTTTAAACAGGTTGTTTCATATTAAATATAGGGCTATCGAATACAAATAACATAAGTAGATCAGCTCCTGAATTCATCAGAGCAATACTTGTTAATTTTTGTGCCATTGCTTATAATGTGTTACCTTCTGAAAGAGCCAGAGCATTCAGGGAGATAAACCAAGTAGAGCAAGACTTCTGCTGTCTAGTGTTGTGGTACGTGCTCATCAGTAAGGTATGTTTCTATGAAGATTTCTATTTTACATAATGCATGTGCCATGCGTTTGGGGCTAAGTGGTTTCAAGGTAGTTGCAGCTTTAGGGCTAGCAAATTTACGCTTCATCATCATAGCCATACATTTCCAAGTAAGCCTTAAAATCAATATATACTAACTAATTTCTCCATCTGAGAGGATACTCAAATGCTAGCAAACATCTCTGAAATAACTGATTTGTGTATTGTATTATTTAACCTTCCTTCCTCTGGGTATTTAAATTCTAGAAGTGGTATATGCTTATTACCTTTGTTATTTTTGCTACAGATTCTGTAATATTATTATTAGTAGTAGTATTTAAAATCCAAAGTAACTGCTATAAATGAAATGTAAAGTTTTCTTCATTCAAATTATTCTGGTTTTGTCATCTGGAAAATAGAAATTTTCTCTTTTCTGAGAATGTTTTTATCCTGTTGTTTTCAGCTTTTTAGAAACCCCATCAAAGTAAATTCAAAAGGTTATATATAATCTTTAATCATTAGTTTTTCCCAAAATTGTAATTATCTTTTTTTACTTCACACTGGCAGATGAATTAAGCCAGATTATCTTGGAATTGCTGAGAGTTCGTATCAATTAATTAGATAATGACAGCACGCATTTTAAATTCACAGGCAGCATCGAAATGAAAGGAACTATCAGCAGCTCAAAATACAGAATTAATGTCCAGAGTGACCTTGACAAATGGAAGAATGAAAAAAAAACCAACTTCTTCAGTAAACATAAAATTACAAGTTTAAGATCTGTGGGCAAAAGCTTCTTGGGTCACAAGTTGAAAAGGAGACAAAACAGCTGAGTGAGAGCTTCCTTCTGCAACATTTATGATGGAGAAATAAACATGTGGTCAGTTAAATAATCTTTCATTCTTTTCAGCACAAAAAAAGGATTTAATTATTTATTTATTTATTTTGTGATTCTTAGTTTTAATTTTTAGCTGTAAGTCATGAGATCCAAATTCTTCCAGTCACACTTGCCAGAAAACTAGCCTGTACAGTTGGCTTCAGTAGCCAACGTGCTATAATCCCTGAATGTCCACTGAACTTTATGCAGCCTTTTAACCTTTAGTTAATGCACTCCCTTTACCCAAAAACACGATGTGGATCTTGAGATAGTCATGAGTTTGCTTTTTCTCACACTTGATTTATCAACAGCCTGGTCTGGCTAACCTTGTTAAGAAATAAAAAATCTCAAGTGTAAAGTCATGGTCCTTTTCCACTGACGTAATTTGGTCCAGGATTTCAATCAAGGATATAAAGGGATTAATCACATGTCACATGGCAGCACAAAGCTGTTGTGAAACTCACATTGTCCAACCTGTGATCTGTCCAACCACATGGCTGTGCTCCCACATTTTGATACTCAGTACTGGAAGAGTCTCTGAACTGAAGCTGTAGTGCAAAAGAGGAAGATTTTACAACTGCTCCATAAATACATAATTTACGACAAAGCTTTATGTCTCAGTAATGACCTGTCTTGAGTCTCTTCAGCCTTCAGGTGAAGTTTGGAGTGTCCCAGACAATTATGTACGAGAATCAGAGGGCACAATAAGATAAATTGCTCACACTGATGATGAAACTGTGAGGAGCACAGTAGAACACCAGGATTTCAGAAAGAAATGTGAAAATGTTTACAAGTCCCCAGCACTCAGCTGTTAGGTCATTCCAGGTACAGAGAGAGTATGAGAAAAGACATAGAAATGTGGTTAGAAAAAGAGAAGGAAGGAGCTTCCAGGCAAGGTGAGTCAGCAGGACTTGGGCACATAGCTGTAGGCAGAAATGAAGTCTGAAACGCAACAAGAACCAGAGCAGCACAACTTGGAAATGAGTTTGGGTTGTTTAAATGAGGACAAACACCTGCAAGTGGGTCTGATTGAGGCCTCAGTGCTTCATTCAGGACTGAAGTTAAGACAAATAAGAACCTTTTTGTGATATTCAGAGCTGTGATATACATCCCCACTTTGTTGCTTCATTATGCAGCTGTGTAAAGATAATTGAGAGAACTATGCTAGATTTTTCATCAACAAGCAATAAAATGTGATAAATATGTTACATGGAATGGCAAATGTTAGAATTAATAAGCTGAAATGTTGACGAATTACTGTTTATATACTTGACATGTAATAATTGCTTCATTTATCATCTGAATCTGGAAAACTTAAATAGCAGGCATTTATAATTAATTTTCTCCTCTTGTAAGCTGCAATTCATTCCACAGTCAAAGGAGTCAGTGTTAATTTCTTTTCTATCAGCCACAGGCCATAAGTTAATGCATTAAAGAAAAATCAGAACATTTAAAATAACAGTCTAATTAAATTATATCCTCCACTGTTGGAGAAAAACACATGATTCTTCAGGAGATAATCAGTTACCACAGTAAACACCATTTAGTTCTTCTCACAAATTTGTGTCTACCCAGTGGCAATTTTAGACTGTCAAGAAGAAGAATTTTCTTTACTGAGTAGATGAAGAATATTGACTTCAGCCTCATTAGCAACTTCAAATGAGAATGACAATGGGAGTTCATTAAATAATAATTTTCCATGCACTGAGTTTCTTTCATCAAGCAGAAGAATATGCTTTATGTAGAGTCTGACAAAGCCCACATTTCTGCTTCATGCTTCTTAGCCGATCAGCTAGAAAACGCCTTCTCCTCAGGGTTCTTCCTGTTTGATCAGCAGGAGCTTGCTTCTGCTTCTGTTTCGCTGAAAACAGTAAGGCAGGTGATGTCCATCTCAGTTCAGAGCGCTGAAAGTACCCTGCTCCAGGGCTGAATCTATCCATGTCCTCAGGAAGATCTGGAGATTTCTGGATGGACCACATCAGTTGAAGTGGCTGAGCACAAACACTCTTCACCACTGGCAGCTGTGGTGCCATGGAGCGGACTGGAAGAGTCTCATTAATGACCTCTGGGCTTTTGTTTATTCAGCTTTGCTATTGAAAGAACAGCTGTTTAGGTATAAGAGAGCCCTTTTGAGTACACAGCTGGGAAAAAATGACAGAGAGGGGCTGTTTTAAGACTATCTTCTTTTCCGTGGCAATCTGAATTCAGGTGTCCTACAAATAACTGCCCATTTTTCTATGTGTAATAACTTAGCTTGTATGCATACTCCCTGTCAACATTACTAGTATAGCCACTGCAAGGGCTATTTTTTTTTTTTACTAAATTGTTACAGCTGAAAAAAATATATATATATATATATTTTTCTCCCCCACTGGTAGGTGTTCTTGTGCAATAAGCACTGATAATTTATAGCAAGAGATTGAATGTGTCATGCTAAAAATTCCACCTTTGTATTCGTATCTTTGTTTTTAATGATTTTTTTCCACCTAAATACTAGAAAAAAATCTTGAAATACTGAGGATCAGTATATTTCAAAAGATGAAAATAATGAGCATTTCCTCTTGTGTAGCCTCTGCTAATTAGTTCTCAGTACAATTTTAAGGATAGCTTTTTAAGTGTTTTTAATTTTAAGATCTTCAGGGCAAAAGAGCATGTGATTTCTCTTACTGCTCCCCACCCTAATTAGTAACTTAATTCCATCTACAGAACTAAGCAGAGCTGACAGACTACAGCTTCTCCTGCATTCTTGCAATTCTCTTTTTCACAAGATACCACTGAGGTCAGGGGCTTTAAAAGGGATAGAAACTTGTCTCCTTCGACATGCATTCCAGCACCTTTCTCACAGAAAATAAGGAAGGTCATTCATTTACATGGGTTATTCCATAGTCCTCCCTTTGGATTTTAAATTCTTCAGAGAATTCTCCCAGTACTTGCTGGCCCTAGGAAAAGTCAGATCAAGCTGCAGGGGAGATATACAAGACTCAAACTTCTCAGGCCCCTGCTCCCACAGCTGCTTAGGCATTTTGCATTAAAGTTCTTGGGAAACAATCAACAGAAGCCTCTCAAGAACATTTCTGCTCTCTCTTCCAAGTGGAACAAGTGCCTTTGCCAATGGGCACTTGGAGGAGACTCTTTTTGTGCTCTCTTGCCCTGCCCAGAGTGGATAATGCAGTAAGGAGGGGAGTTCTCCCTTTCTTGTCTGAACTGAGAATGCAGATAAAGACATAGATTGGAAAGACATGATAAAGACATAAATTATTTTAGCTCACTCTGGCTCTGTGTAAGTCAGGCTAAGACAGTGTGTTTCAAGAGTGGAAGACTTCAGGGAAAATAAAGTAAATAGTAATAAAAAGTGAAAAAAAAAAAAAAAAAAAAAAGAAAAAAGAAAAAAGAAAAAATAACGTAACCCAATTGCCTACACTGAAAGGGATATTTTCAGCATCCAAATTCCAGAGATCATTTCAGGCATGAAATCTGATTTTACTTAAGTACCGTCTTATATCCCTAGCTCTAAGGTTAAGTGAGAGTATGCAAGCATTTCTTCATAGCCAGAAAAGGCCCCCTCTTCTATCCCTGCCCTTTCCCTCATCAGGCTGACTCTTGTCTACAGCTGCAATTTCAGTACCTGGAACAGAACACCTAGAGAAAACTACAGTGATGTTCAGCACTGGCACATTTTCGTCTTTTACTGATTACGTCAGGAATCACTTAATGTTGTGTTAAAGAGCACACATAACTCAGACTTAATAAATCTGAAGACAGTGCATGCAGCAGAAGGGAAAGTCAATCCAAATCCACTTTTCCTGACAAAAATACTAGTTTCATACAAACAGATATTTTGATTGTGAAGTTGACTGGACATCCTAATTGGATGACTGGAATATCAGGGCTTTTTACCCATTGGCTGTACACTAAGCTTCAGATAAACAACACAGAAAGTTTTGATTGATAAAACCATGAACAAGGATTTCTCTTGTGTTATACAGAAAATAAAACTAAATTTCTAAATATCTTTCATAATGCACACACACTAGCAGTAATTATTTCTATCAAATTGTAGCTGTATTATAACTATACTATAATAACATTAATTGTGTTGAAGAAAATGTGCCTGTACTATAATGTGCATTTGTTTTCTTTTGCCAAACCCAAGCTATCAGGTGAAGCAGTTACGATGAAGTGTTTGATCAGCAAGATAACCATTATATGCTGGCACAAGTCTAATCATGTCCATCATCATAAATAACTATAATTTATCCTTTTGGGAAGAAGATCTTCGGCCTTCTCCAATAAACAGCATGAAAAATGCTTCAGTTTTCTATTTAATATAGGTGGAAGGATAACAATTTCTTTTTATTTTTTCAGAAGCAACAATTTTCCTTGAGGGAGAGGATGTGGGATAAAATTTCCCACCTTCATTACTGAGAATCCACTTTCAAGGCTTTGTTCTCCTATAGATTCACCAGTACCTGAACTTATAACTCATTATTCATTCAAACTGAGTTGCATCACCAATAATGTTATCACTGGGAACCTTTGAGATTATTCTCACTCTGAGAAGATCTTTTGTATTTGACCTCAAAAACGATTGTGCAAATTCGGGCAATTCTTTAAAAAACTTCTAGTGAATCAAAATGTTTTGTTATAATCAAATAAAAGTAGTTTTTTTCCCAGATTAAAAAAAAATAAAATAAAATCCAAAGAAGGAAATAATTACTAATATAATCCGTAAGATAATGTTCTCACACTAAAGATTCCTCAGCTTTTGAGAGCTGAGATAAATCTATACGTGAGCAGAGTTCTGCTATAACCCAAACCCAGCCATCACAGGAAGTTTAGTTTTAGCCTTGAGATCTGGAATAAAATCACATTACAACAGAATTATTTCAAAATTAAAAGGAAAAAAATTCTTTTTACTGGGCTTATTTTAAGTCAGTGATATGAAGTAACTAAGCAAAACCAAATTGAGTCAGGGCCCCTTGGTTTCTTCTGAAATCATGAGTCAGGGAACTATGATGAATATAGTGGTTGGTCACAAAAAAGTAGCAAAAGGAGTTTACTGATTGTTGCTTCTTAGCTCCTGGTGCAGATGTTCCCTTAGTTCCCTTAACTCATCATGGCTATTTTTCATATTGTTTTGTGTCTTGTTTTTGTCTCTACAGGAGCTCTTCTGTGACAGTTCGTTCTCTCTGCCTCTCTTCCCTCCATGTGCTCTCCACTTCAAGAGTTTATTTTCCCTTTATGTGAAAGACTGTTCCACCCTGACTCAGTTCCCTTTTCCTATTCTTACTTCTTGTTCCCTTCCTTCCTCAGATCATCTTCTTTTTCCTCTAGCTTTAAATTAACAGTAACAGGGTTTTGTCTTTCTGTTGTTGTTAATAATCTGAAAAGAGAATTAATTTGTAAAAGCTAGCACATAGTGGTTGCCAGGCAGCAGTCTACATTATCATCATTCAGTTAATGGTTGGCTTAATTACTGTCTTAATAAGCACTGTTTAATCTTGAGCTACCTCCTGTAACACAGTTCTAAGGCAAAGCCCACTGTGCTGCAGTTTGAGGTCCCCACTCACAGCAGTGAAGGACAGCAGTGACTAGGTTTGATAATTGTCCCCCTCAATACAGATTCCCTTATATTAAGTAATAAAACAATCCATGCCATAGGCATTTATATGGGATACAAATGCTCACAGCAACATTTGTGTTTCCAAAGGTACTTGGACACCTGAGCTGACTGACAGACAGAGAAGCTCATGTGCAGAAGTTGTGCATAAGTTTTTCTGTTGGTCTGCATAAATTGCCCTTCTGGCAACATAAAGGCTCATTGTTCATGTTGAGCTTGTGAGTGTCAAAATTGCCTACACTGCTGGTTTTAACTGATTCTAAACAAAGTAATATGCAGGCCTCACTGCTTTCAGGTTAATTCAACTTTAGAAACTCTTTGGTCTTATGCATCTAACAGATTTTGTCATTCTCACTTGTAACAGTTGCTACTCATTTTATTACCAATACAAATGGCTGCATGAAATAAATACACTGAAGGAATGATAAATCCATTAAGTAATTACTCATAGTTCTCTACTATATTATCTACTAGTATGAAACAATCATGTTAAACTGCACACTTAACCTGGATAGCAGAAGAGGGCATCGCTGGAAAAAAAGAGCTGAGCTGTTCAGTAAGGAATGCTGATGACACCAAGCTGAGTAGTGCAGTTGACATACTAGAGGAAAGGGATACCAGCCATGGACAGACTTGAGAGGTGGGCCCACACCAACCTCATGAAGATCAACAAGGCCAAGTGCAAAGTCCTGCACCTGAGTTGGGGTAATCCTAAACACATATACAGGTTGGTTGGAGAATGGCTTAAAAGCAGCCTTGAGGAGAAGGACTTGGGGGTGTCATTTAATGAAAGACTCAACACGAGCAGGCAATGTGCGCTTGCAGCCCAGAAGGCCAACTGTATCCTGGGTTGCATCAAAGGAAGCATGACCAGCAGGAGGTGATTCTGCCCCTCTACTCCTCTCTCGTGAGACCCCACCTGGAATACTGTGTCCACTTCAGGGGCCCCCAACACAAGGATGCAAAAGCTCTTGGAGTGAGTCCAGGGGAGGGCCACAAAGATGATCAGAGGGCTGGAGCACCTCCCCTAGAAGAGAAGGATCTGGAGGGACATTATAGGAGCTTTTCAGTACTTGAAGAAAAGATGTGGAGAGAATTTTTATCAGAGCATGTAGCGACAAGACAAGGGGAAATGGTTTTAAACTGGAAAAGAGTAGATCTAGACTAGATATTAGGAAGAAATTCTTTACTGTGAAA